TGGGTCATGAAGCACCTTGGATAATCTCCAGAAATCAATTTAAAGGGCAATAAAATAATTGCTGATGTAATATTTTCCCTATAACTATTACAAAAACACAAAATAAGTATAAATAAGTATTTATATTTGTGTACAAGCTGTTTAGATTGTCAAAAAAACTGTGTTTTTAGGGTTATTAAAGGTAAAGGTGCTTTACTGGTCATCAGTGTATGTTTCCACACTATGATGAAATTTGTGCTCTGCATTTGATCCATCCACACCCAGGTGGAGCAGTGGGCAGCCATGTCAGGCGCCCAGGGAGCAGTTAGGGTTGGGTGTCTTGCTGAAGGACACCACGACATGTGGGCATGGCGGGGAGTCAAACCAAAGACTTTCGGGTCCCAAGCCAGCTGCTCTACCACTACACCACAGCCACCCCACTTTATTAACAACGTTTGTGTACTCAGACCAGTAATATTTGGGGTCACAAGTTTTTGCCATGAATTTTTTGTGGGTCAGAAGATAAAAAGTTTGGGAACCTCTGGCCCATTGTGTACTGATTGTTTGGAGGTGTTCATACATTGTGTCAAAGTTGAGTTGTTTGACGGCAAAATTTGCTTTTGTTCCATGTTTTAAATGTTTTGACAYCATTATTGCCTTTTGCAAACAAAATGTGTCATTTTGACCACTGTGTCAACGTCTAGGCCTCTGTGTTAACTGTTCTGAAAAAGTGGTTTTTGAGTTGACGGCTGTGTCAAACCAATCAATAAAAACTGTAAATATTCTCCCTCTACACCACTGACTGGGAGCCTTTCAGTTCTATAAAGAAAACATGAAATGTGGAGAAAATTTCATGAAGTACTGTATGTCACTGCAGATATTTCTGTATATACTGTATAGCAACATTACCTGTTCTGCTGTAGAAAAACTCTAACAATGGATGCAACAGTGTTTCTGTTTCGAACAGGTTGGACTCTTTGTCCAGCCTCTCTAAATGAAAGGCCATGATTTATGACATGATCAATCACAGTTGCCTGAATTTCAGCTGTAACCTGAGGCCTTCCAGCTACACCTCCACCTCGCACATGGACTCCTCTTCCTCTGACCCCTCTACCTGTTACTCTCACTCTTCCTCTCATCTGCTTTAGACCTCCTCCATCCATGCTGGCAAAGAACAACACAGGCCTGCAGACTGATTGCAAATTGAAAAATTCTGTGAAGAAGTGAAACAGGTGCTTTCAGTGTTTCATACTGACAGCTGAAAGGGACTCCTTGAATGACGTCTGCATTAACTGTTTAGAAAAAGGGTGGAAAACTGTTAATCCCATGAGAATGGGTTTACACGTTACAAAAGGTGTCTTCTGCTTTGCTGAGGTGGTGATGATGAAGACTGTTCCCAGTTCCTTCAAACAGGTCAAACCAGTCTATAAAAACTGTAAAATGTTGAGTTCAAGTCTTGTGAACTCTGTGACTTTTCATTGAAGTGATTTTGAATTGTATTTTTGTGTTTATTTTTTATTAGCTACTTGAATTCTCAGTTTTTGCAGTATTTGCGTTGTTTTTGCACTAATGTTTTGAGGATTTTTTTAATTTTATTTTTATGATTTTGGATTTTTCTTCAAGTGGATTGTTGGGGTGGAATAAATTGTTTCTACGTGGGGTGGAAACTTAATTTACACATTTTATGACATTAATTCATCTTTTATTCTTGAGCTCATTAAAATTTTGTGGTTTTTAATTATCATTTGCTATTTCAATGTACTCAGTCTGTTTATTTAGAAAGTTAATGCCTTAAGCAGTCACTATAATTTATTTGTCCTAATTTGCTTTACTCAAGGTTCGTTTATTRTCGACTAGCCATTATTAGATTAAAGCCTGCATCCAAAGTAAATCCTTGGGGGTACATACGCAGCTTAAGGCCTATTTGCAGGGGACAAGCTTACGTTTGTGATGTTTGTCGAATTTTGGACCACTTGAGTTTTAAGAGTTGTTTCAATAATCTTTTATGATTTTGGTTCTATTTGCATTTTTGATGGTATAAGTTTGGTCATTGATTTGTTTGCACTGTTTGCCTTATTTTAAATTGCATTTCTTGTTGTTCCTTTTACATTTGTGTTTAGGTAATATATAATTATTTTTCCTTATTTAATTGTTCATTGACTGAACATACGGAGCCCGTGAGGGGACATGGGAGATTTTTTTTTCTTTTGCGTTCTCACCCAATAGTATTGCGTTGCCTCGCAATACCTTTTGCGTTCCCTCGCAAAAGTCGTTTATCACTGTTGTGCCTGCCGGTTTATTAACAAACTCACATGTTCACCATTAGCGAGTTAGCCTACTGCTTTAATTCAGCTTTAAAATGAATATATCACACAACCACGCATGGAAGTATGTCATATGCCAATATTTTAACACAGTGCAGCCACGCAACATCAATGTCAAAATCACGAACTGTGGTGACRCATCCTGTCTTGGTAACCGTATATTTCAAAATAAAAGTCTGATTTAATTCAGTTCATATTCAAAACAAACTTTTGCGTGGGAATGCAAAACAATATTGCAAGGGAATGCAAAGGTATTGCGAAGTAACGCAAAAGTATTGCGAGGTGACACAAAAATATTGCGAAATATTGCGAGATAACTCAAAACTATTGCAAAGTAATGCAAAGGTATTGCGAGGTAACGCAAAAATATTACGAGATAAAGCAAAAATATTGCGGAGTAACGCAAAAGTATTGCAAGGTAACGCAAAAGTATTGCAAAGTAACGCAAAAATTTTGCAAAGTAACACAAAAATATTGCAAAGTAAGGCAAAAATATTGCGAAGTAACGCAAAAATATTGCGAGGTAACGCAAAAGTATTGCGAGGTAACGCAAAAGTATTGCGAGGTAACGCAAAAGTATTGCGAGGTAACGCAAAAGTATTGCGAGGTAACGCAAAAGTATTACGAGATAAAGCAAAAATATTGCGGAGTAACGCAAAAGTATTGCAAGGTAATGCAAAAATATTGCGAAGTAACACAAAAATATTGCGAGGTAATGCAAAAGTATTGCGAGGTAATGCAAAAATATTACGAGATAAAGCAAAAATATTGCGGAGTAAAGCAAAAATATTGCGGAGTAACGCAAAAGTATTGCAAGGTAACGCAAAAATATTGCGAGATAACGCAAAAATATTGCGAAGTAACGCAAAAGTATTGCGAGGTAATGCAAAAGTATTACGAGATAATGCAAAAATATTGCGAAGTAACGCAAAAATATTGCGAAGTAACGCAAAAATATTGCGAAGTAACGCAAAAATATTGCGAGGTAATGCAAAGATTTTGCGTGGGAATGCAAAAGAAAAAAATCCCCCCATGTTGCCTCGTGGGCTCCATATGAACAAGAGGAGAGGAATGTGCTAGAAATAAGTTATATAACTCTGTCTGAGCGTTATGTTGACATTGCCTCGACATTTTAATTGTATCTCTTTGACAATTGCTGCGACATGTTTAACCTGTTTTACATGATTCTGAGATGCCATTCGATGTCTAGGGACCTCGTCTTAATTTCTGAAACTGTTGTGTAACTTCTGCCACCTGTCGTTTGCTATTGGTCTGCCCGGTGCTCCGTCTTAATGTAAAAACCGAATTTCTGCCTCTGCAGAGCCGGTCCATCCTGCTCTCAGAGCTCTGATCGTCTCTGTGCGTGTCACGGCTCGTCTTGCCCTTTGCAAAGCCTTACATTAAATAAACAACCAGTCACGCAAGTGTATTTTCATTATTCCGTGTTTCTGCCTGTTCATAAATATTTTCCACTACAGTTATTAAATCCAGAATTCAACAACTTTATTAATCAGTTCTTTTGTAACTTCACTGAAACATAATTTCATGCCTTATTTGAAAGCACTAAGTCACATTGGAGTTGATTTTTGCTCTTCTGCAGGCCGTCCTGTAAGATCTTCTTCAGCCATGACCCCATCAAGATCGTCCGAGCCAAAGGCCAGTACATGTATGACGAGAAGGGACAGCGCTACTTGGACTGCATCAACAACGTGGCTCATGGTAAATGTCATTTTAGACCAGAAAAAAAAGTCTAGTTTCTAAGATTGTGTAAGTTCTGCTGTTCGATGAATCATGGGTACGAAGAATCAGCTGGGTTTTGCTGACTCGGGGATACACAGGTTGATTGCTTCATAGATTTCTTCAAAATGTCTGTTTTATATAAGAACTGCAGTAAAATGAATTAAGGTTTTCTCGTTTTTTCATATGGTAATCTTGTAAAAAAAAAAAATTCTGTTTCTCAGTGGGTCACTGTCATCCAGATGTGGTGAAGGCTGGAGCTGAGCAGATGGAACAGCTCAACACCAACACTCGCTTCTTACACGACAACCTGGTTCTGTTTGCTCAGAGGCTCCAGGCGACGCTGCCCGACAAGCTGTCCGTCTGCTACTTTGTCAACTCTGGGTATTTAAGATATTTTACACTTCTYTCACAACACAAACAACAAGCCGGCTTGTTCTTTTTACAGTTCGATCTGTTGTTGGGGTGCCAAGTGTAAAATACAWTGTTCAAAAACATTTTCATTATTTAGCTCACTTTCTGAGTGTAAAATCATAGTTAAAAAATTCCACTAACTTTTTATTATTTAGTCCACTTTTCCTAAATTTTGCTCATTTTTATTAGACTGAATGTTAAAAAAATTTATTGAAATATTAAATCTTAAATCAAAGTTTGTAAAATTAAATCTAAAATGTTGGGACTAAATGTTAAAGTTTATGTGCAACTGTGTCRGAATGGAATGCAGCCTTTGCTGTTGGTGACTTTTGCTGTGATCCTGAGACGATGGCTGTGTCCAAAACGGCGGGCCGGATCCTCCGAATTTGTCGGCCGCATACGTCACAGCGCCGCGACGAAGGACATCCAAAACCGAAGACTCCTCCGATGCGGCCGACAAATACGTCCTTCCTTTGGCCCGAATCGAAGGACAGGTCTGATGGATCCTTCCCGGCCCAGCATATCCCATAATGCATTGCGGCCCAACCGGAGATTTTTTATGCTAGTAATGGCGGACGAAGCGAGAGAAAAGAATACATTTTAAATAAAAATATGGTGATATAAAATTTAAAATAAATTTTTGCGGTTGTAATTCTAACACTTTTATCATTTGTATGGACATGTTTTTAAATATTATTTTTGTCCTAAAAAAACGTGAAATAAACATGAACCTACAGCGGGTCAATTAGTTCTTCGAATGTTACCTTTAAGTTAATTTTATAGTTTTGTGATATTAATAATGCTAATGTATTGATTTTTTTCTAGTGTTTTGATTTAAGTTTGCTTGTTTAGCGTCGTCACAATTACTAGGTGACATGACGTAAGGAGGGGAGGCTAGACCGTCCAAATTCACAGCCTCTTTTCTTCCGGTCTTCCCGGTCTACCAAGGACCTGGGCCGCCTCGATCGGGCAGTCTGGGTCATCCGGAGGACCCGGCCTGTCGTTTTGGACACAGCCTATAGCAACCGCTAGTAATGCTAGCGCTGCTAACGCTTCCCTACAACATATTAAACCTGTGGCTGTGGCTGGCGTCCGAGCAGCACTTCAAGCTGCCTGACTACAATATTATCTAGTAATTGTTGTCAATGAGCACCTTTTGAATTTAAAATTTAAATGTCACCTTCAGCAGCGTTAGCAATGTTAGCAGAGTTAGCAGCGTCAGTGGTTGCTTTTGTCTCAGCAAAGGCTGCATTCCATTCCAAAATACTTACGTTAAGTGTATTTAACTTTAACATTTAGCCTCATTTATATTTAACTTTTACATTTAGATTTATGATTAACACAAATTATTTAACATTTAAATTAAACATTTAAAAATTAGCAAAATGTGAGCTAAATAATGATAAAAAGTTAATAGGATTTTTTAACTACGATTTTTACACTCAAAGTGAGCTAAATAATGAAATGTGTCTGTGACACTTTACGTTTTATTTGTATTTGGCACCATAGATTCGCACAGTTTCCAGTGAATGAAACTGTGTGTTCCGGCGGTGCTTCTTATGCAGCGAACAGAGCTGGTAATCTGCACGTTCAGCTGTTTCCTATTTATCAATCAACCCAGGTTCAGCTGGGTTACTTATTAACAAAAGCTACTCACAGTACAGCTGTGAGAGCCGATTATCTGGATAAATGGTGTTGGAGATAATGACTCATGAACTCCTAACCAACAGTCAGGGTTTATATGGGTGCAGAGGGAGGTCGTAAACCAAACCAGAAAGAGGAATTGTTCAGGTTTCAGTGCAAAAAGCTGAACTTACAGTACGTCCTGTCAGATMGCTCACTGCAGACCATGAACTTTAGCAATAATTAAGTCGTGTTGACTGATTGTAAAGGTCGATTCCAGCGCCATTTTTTAGCAATGAAAGCAACTGATACATCATTTATCCCTGAGGTTCAAGTTTTAAAACTGAAGCTTCATTATTTTTGACCCAAAAAGTCTCAATTTATAATGAAAAATACCAAACAGGCAGTCATAACCAAGCAGCAGCTGAGATCAGAGCATTTTAGGATGTTTTGAATCACTTTGTATTGCTAAAAAGGATTAAATAAGCACACTTCATGAGAGTTGCTGGTTGGTTTCAGAGCTAGACTTTACTACCAACATATAAAGAATGATTTTGCTTAAAACGTTCGTCGCTAACTGTTAAATCACACACAAATCGCGTCAGTGTCGTTTGAAAACTTCTGCATTAAAAAGTTCTTCCTGCAGAAATAATGACTGTGTCCCAATTCGGGGGTTGTGGGCGTGGCCCAAGTAGACCACACCCTCTGTTGGCTGTAGGCCATCCACGTAGGCTGAAAACCACTACGCGCTGCCGTTACAATGATGCGTTTTAGATCACATGCCTTCAGTTGGAACTCACTCATCTTTTCACGGGAGGTATAACCACAACATTCTAAAAATTATCAAAAAAAGGTACACGTAAATAAATAAATAACATTAATAATGTGGGTTTAGCTCCAGTATCAGTCAGTGCTTGTAATTATATTTTAAAATAAATTATCTGGTTTGTGATGAATTTCCAAACTACGCCAGCTTGGTTAATAAATAAATAACTCAGCCATCTTTGTTTTCCTGTTTAGTTTGTTGACGACGCAATGAAACCTTGGAAATCGTCGGCCGCGTACGATGCTCAGATGCAGCCAACATTTTTGGGGTTTTTGTCGTCCTACATCAGCTGCAACCCCTAAATTGAGACACAGCTTTCATCATAATTCCTGCTTGAGGTGCTACAGCTAGTTGCTGCTGCTTTTGAACTTGAAAATAACCATAAAAACCTATGTAAATATCTGCTTAGTGACTGTGTAAAAGCTTCGAAAATAGCTTTTGCACGAAAAGCTCAGGTAAAAGGATGAGTAACTCAGTGAATTGTTCTATAAAACTTTACTTTAAAATGACAGAGCTAACCCTTTAATGAGATTAGTTAATGTGTTATTTTAATTCTGAGGGGGTTTCTGTAAAGTGTTGCAGTGATCTATAACTTTTAAAGTGTTTCATGCAGAAATCGTAGCTCTAACTGGTGACCTTCTACCCAGGAGGTGTTGACCTCTGCCCATGTGAAGAAATAAAAGAACAAACTGTGCCTGACGTTTGGCAGCAGACATATGTGGCATCACCTGTGTGTTTTGTGGTGACTGAGTAACTTCGTGTAACCCTTGTCCCTTCAGCTCTGAAGCCAACGACCTGGCCCTCCGGTTAGCGTGGCGCTACACGGGCAACAAAGACATCATCACGTTGGAAAAGTAAGAACCAGAGAAACATGGTTTTATTCTGGAATTTGTTAAAAACAAACAGCTGATTATGTCATAGTTACACAGCAGACGATGTTTGGACTCTGCTTGCAGTGCGTACCACGGACACGTGTCGTCACTAATCGACGTCAGCCCCTATAAGTTCCAGCAGCTGTCGGCCGCGGAGCAGAGTCAGTTCGTCCATGTGGTGAGTGTTTGGTTTCTCCCACCGCCTGCCTGTCATTAAAACCTCATGAGTCAGCTGTTCTGCTGCGACCTGGCAGCTCTGCTGAGGCTTCGGCTCACATGAGGGGCGATCAGAAACACGGCGAGCAACAGAACACAGAAATCATGTTTTCTTGATATTTATCAAAAATTAGAGCCTCAAAAACACAAATCTCTAAACTCCACCAAGAAATATTGATACATCTTGAAAAAAGAAAAAAAATTGTATAGGTCTTGGACGGGTTCTTCTCTAATGAAACGTTTCGTCTCTCCTCCAAGAGACTTCTTCAGTCTGAGAGTTTCAGGCAAAATTCAGGYTTTTAAGCCCTGCCTCCATGTGACTGATACTCACATCACATGGCTATCGTTGACACCTAATTAACACCTATTGTTAACAGGGGGTGGAGTGATACTGGCA